CGCAGCATTATCATAATCTATTTTAGCGGTGTGCGCACAATTTTAACATCTACAAAGCAGTAAGAATACTCCACAGTCCTCAGTCCAGGAACAGAATGAGCCTCAAAGTGGCGAACACTGACAGAATCCCCACATCATCTTAAATCAATGTTATCTCAACTCAAGAAGCCAGCCAGGTATTTTCTTTTATGTGCAAAGGCCTGTCAAGTCGTCCCAATACACACGCTGCAGATGGCATTGATTCACCGATCATTTGGAATTCTGCCAGGTGTTCAGCCATCGATTTGCACCAGGGGGCCAGATATGAAATGTGCCATTTTAGTCATCACTTTTGTGCCCAGGATCAAAACCAGCACACACACACAGGTACACACACACACACACACACACACACACACACAGGTACACACACGTACACACAGGTACACATACACATACACACAGGCCTACAGACACAATTTGAAAAAACCTGCACTACTATTGACAGTTTCTTGATTGCCACTTTTTAAAATGCCACTTTTTATTGTACATAATATATCCTGCATTTAACATGTTGCACATTTCTTTCTTTTTGCACAGTCTGAGTGTTTCTATCCAGATGTGACATGTACATTTCTCCTGTGTGAGATCAATAAAGTATATCTTATCTTATTTCTCTTTGCTATTCCTATTCTATCACATCCATCTGTGTTTAAAAGGCTTCTTGTGGAACCTCTCCTGGCCTGGACCCGTTACCCAATTGTGTTCTTCATTAACAGTATTTTACAGTATGGAATAACAGGACTAACATTACAGAAAACACTGTACCTTTCCACGCTTCTGTTCCATATAGTCTGTGTATCATAGACTGTATCTATTATCGGACGTAGTCACGTCTATCTCCGCCGTTCTAACTAATGGGCCAAAAATTGGGCTTTCATGGAATGATTCAAAATGGCCGCGGGGGCTGGAAAATGTGAAAAAACGCATCTGCGCATGCGTCAGCTGCAGGAGCTCCATTCATTTAAACTTGAATGGGGCTTCAAAAACTCACAGCGACTAAACTAGACTGGTCCAGAACACTCAGCATTGACACACATGTGGAACGGAGCTTTGGGCCAAGAGCCAACTTTTGGACCATCCTGTAAAGACGTTTTCCAGAGGTAAGAAGATGCTATATGTTAGCATTGGCTAATTCTTATTCTGGGTCCACCCCCACAGGCCCGGGGTGGTATTGTAGCATGTCAGCGCACGTCATTTTGGCCACTTTTGAACCAGGACCCGCCCCCTCTGGTGTGTACACGGTAATTGTATTTAGAAAGTAATTAGTAAGAAGTAGCATGTAATCTTTATTTATATAGCGCATTTGTACAGACCATGGTCACCCAAAGCGCTTCACAATGTTTAGAGTTCAGATTCTCTTCACACACGGTGAAGTGAGACCACACTGGCACCAACACCATCCAATCACTCAATCATTACATTCAGACCCATTGTGCATGTTTTTAGTTGTAGGGGAAACCGGAGGACCCGGAGGAAACCTACGCAAACATGGGGAGAACATGCAAACTCCACTCAGAAAGGTTCTGTTATATTGCGCAGAAAGAGCCCAGTGAGTCTGTATTTGACACAAGCTGAATTCTAGGTAACCCAGCTTTATGCAACACTGGGAAAAGTATACTTGAAGATGTTGCTTACCTGCTTTTACTACCCCTTACTTTTTCATTTCTTGATCTGAAATTCAACGGGAACAAGAGTGGTCTGAAGGGAAGATGGATTCACAAACTCACCTCATACCAAAAACCCAAGTCTGTATGATATGACAAAAGAAGGCAGAGAAAGACAGAGGGGGGACACATTGCCCACATTTTAAACATATTGATTATGAGCCAAAGCGAACACTCAAAAAACTCAGATGAAAATGTGTTTGAAAGTCGAAGCGATTTAGTGTAAGTGCTGTGTTGAGGAGCCGAGGCAGTAAAACCTTTGGCAATTAGAGATTTTAATCTGAAGACTCATGCAGCAGTCGATAACATCAATTGGCTTTTGTGCTGGACAGAAAAATAATCTCAGGCAACCTCGCTGATTCCAGAACTTTTGCTTTATCAATGTTGTTTATTTGCGGTGCTAAACATGTCAATGGTGTCGTGTCTGAAGGCAAAGAGGCGGGGAAAGGTTTAGCGTATGCCCCCGGTGGCTTTAGTGCAGAGCAAGCATGTTCCTAGGGTGAAGCTTGCGTAACAACTCATTAATAAAAGTGGCTTTGGAGGCTGGTTTGAACGTCTTCAGCACATTTCAGGGTCTCATCTGAATGACTGACGAGAGCTTTCTGTCCTCCCAGTCATAGCTCACACTCCGGTTTCGGGAGGTTTGAAGAGAAGCCGGAGACGTCCGACCTGGAATAACACCATCACTCTTAAAGGTGCTCTATTCAAACCTTACCGTAGAGGTCTGTCGCCGGGTTGCCACGGAGATGCTGCTGCTGTGTCGCAGTATGGTGGAAAGGTCTTAAAGAATAGATGTTATGCATTATTTTTGCTTATGAATAATGGTTATGCGACTGTTTACTTTGTTATCCCTTGTTTTTGAATTTGAGTTAATATTGTAAGTAGAAAATACATGACAAAACAAGTATGAAGGGTAAACATTGCTTTTCGGCTGTAATTCCCTTTGATACCACCAGAGGGAGGGGTCGAATTATATATTTCTTTTTAATTTTAAAAGTACTTGCCGCAAATGTAGCCATGCGATTGTGAAGAACATAATTTCACTTGAGAAATTGACAAAACTGATTTTCAAAGGAAGAAGAGTTTTAAACAGAAGGGGTAGAGTTACTTGTTTGTGACAGTTTCTGAGCATGGATGATCTAAAAAGAACTACATTGGAGAAAAAAACATTAATTTTTTGCATAATATATCTGCTTTTATGATCTTTATTAACCTTGGTAACCTTGCGAGCAGAGTGGCTGTGTAACCTGCGTGTCTCCAGCTATGATTCTGGTCCGTCTCTTTGATATAAGATCTTTTGCAGTATTTATAGTCGATGCGGCTGGTCTGAGCAAAAATGCAGAAACTCTTGAGGCAAAACTCTTGAGGCTTGTACATTAAATTCAAAACACAGAAATGTCTGCCAGGTTACAAAGTCTGAATGTAGAAAATGTAGTTTATGCGACGTCGCGCAAAGGACCGTGCCTTTAATTTAAAACGTCTGCATGCGGAAATTGTCATGCATGGTCCAAGCTCTAAACAGACCAAAGTACAGGATCAGGCCTGCACTCAAAACAAGACTTCTTTCAATGTTTTAAAGTAGAATATCAGTGAAAACATTACACAGACACCACTAATAGGTGAAGTTAACATTTGTACTGGGTCCCTTTAAATGGCTTTACAGTGGTCCCTTCTTGCAATTACAATATGTTCTAAAAATAACCTTGCAAAGAGTAAAATCTGCAAAGTAGCAGCAATATGTTTTAAAGACTGTAAAACCCCACACACTTTTCTTACCATCTGAACGCACGGCTTCTGAAGTGCGATCGCGGTGATAGCAAACATATTCATTGCAGGTATGAGCGCTGCTGCAGCTGTCAAAAGCCGCGCATACACTGTGAAATGCTGTGCTTAGGGGCAGGAGCAGAACTGACAGCTACGGCATGCCTTTTCTGACCCGATTAACTGCTGTGACAAAAACCAGTCTTCAACTACTGCATATGACGTAATAATTTAACCGCTTATAAATCCGTACTTTTTGTAAGCATTTATTCTCATTGATCCAAACTTACTTTACCAAATGTTTAAACTTTAAACAAAGGAATCGTTAAGAAAAATGACAATACTGTAGCTTCTGTTTAATGAGAAAGTTTTCAGTGTAGCAGTGTTGGGCTGTCGAACACTCAAGAAAAAGACATTTGTATGATTCAATAATATACCCACTTTTTGCGTGTTTCTTTGTCGTTTTGCGTTTTTTTTTTACAAATAAAGTTCCCTATTGCAGTAAAAACACATACAGTTTACTCACTCCAAAATCTCGTTCTTTAATAAGTAAAACAGCCATCTTTTATACAAGTGCCTGGTGCTCATCAAAGCTCAGTTCTCATCGCGAGAAGCACAAGCATTTTTGGAATTCCAGTAAAGATGCAGTGAACTCTTTCGTGATTAGCTCAGACTAAAATCATCTCCTCCGTAAAACACTGCTATCTACACAGTCCGAAGCAAAAAATTGAAATCGAATGGAAACAGAAACAGACAAGAAGTACAGAGGAATGCCTGCATGGGTCTTTGTGTTCTGCAGTGGTGTTTCTGTGTTGGCCTATTTAAGACTAATGTGAGAAAAGAAGTCAAGTAACAAAAACAACTGGTACCAGGAAAGTCCAGCACAACAGAACTGCTCCTAAGCACTACATTTACGAAGACAAAAGGTTTGCTCAGAACAAAAAGCATATTGTTATGTGCAATGCTAGTTATCTGTACATTTACATAGAAATATCTCATAATTCTCTTATTAGTTTTTTCTCCCTCTTAACAACTGTTATTACAGTAACATGAAAAAGGGAACAGTTCATGTTTAAAAGCGTCAGGAATTCCCCCAGAGTTCCAAATGTGTCAGCTCATATTTTTTGTCTTTTTTATTTGAAGGAACACGTCAGCAAACAAAAGCTGCTGCATCTCATCGAAGGGGGAAGAAAATATCTGTAAAAGTCAAAACAGAAGTATAGTAAAATAGTCCTTTGATATCCCATTTGTTCTGTTCAGTCTGATAGTTTTCAGGGCTCCAGATATCTAGTGTGGCCATAGTCTCTCTGCACAGCGAGATTCCACTCACTAAGCCTTCACTACGTTACGAGTCCCACACTGAACACGTGGAGCACAGTCCATTCTGCGGTCCGAACAGAATGCAGTCTGTCTTCTGTTGAGCCTTAGTTTTGACATATATTAAAAAACGAAGGCTACCACTGTCAACGACGGAGAGGACAAAGGAAACAGGGTAACGAGGACTACGTGACGAGCTGTCGGTGAGCGTCTGGCCTATAGGCTAGTGACCAGTTGTGATGCGTCCTGGTGCACTTCCTCAGGGGCATCCTCTTTGTTGGGGGGCACGATGAAGCCGTCACTGCTGCCCCGGCCCAACTGGTAGTACGAGTGCAGCTGGTGCAGGTGGTTGCGTGATCCCAGGTTGGGCATACTCTTGTAGTAAACATCGTCAGAGCTGGCTTCTTGGCTCTTGGTGTCTGCAGAATCTTTGCGGTGGGCGTTGTCCTGGGACACGTCGGGGAGGCCGGGCAGCATGGGCATGCTGGTGTACAGGGAGTCCCTCTGATGGCTGTGAGGAGGGGTTGAGCTGTCTTCTTCAGTCTGCTCATTGGTGAGAAGGGGAAAGAAGCTATCACTGTTCTCTTGAGGGATCCTCCTCCGTGACGATGAGGAGGTGGTGGCAGCGGTGAAGGGCAAAGGGAGGGCAGGGGGCACAGACTGGTGCAAATGACTGTGAAGGTTGTCCACTGCTAACGTCGGTGGAGGCCTCTGAGGCAAAAGTGGTGCATTTGACTCCTCACGGATCAACTCCAAGCCCAGCCCTTCATCATGGTGTGGAAAAGTGGAGTGGTCATCCAAACTCAGAGCCATGTTCATGCCCATGCCCATTCCCATGATGCCCATTCCCAATCCCATTCCCATTCCCATTCCATACCCATTGTCCTTGCCGCCATTACTGACGTTGTTCACCAGCTTGTTCATGAGGTTGCGATTCTGTTCAGCCGAGCGGTCGTGGGAGTTGTTGAGGTACGTGGGTAAATAGTTGGAGGTGAGTTCTTTGAGGATCTTCTTTTCGAGGGTGGTCTCCTTGTGGTTGTATCCCCTGTCAATAATCTGGACGCAGTCGCTCATGTAGTCAGCGCTGGCGATGCTGTAGCTGCCATGGTTACCATTCAGCGGTAGAGTATCCATGACACTTGTATCCCGGGCATTGTTCAGTATTCCCTCTGAAAAGACACACAAGGACAGGGGTGAGAGAGGTGGAGAGGGAACAATGAAGGATTTGAGAAGCTGAGGTAAATGTCAACCACAAATTACACACATTGTTTTATGCAAGTGTGGTCAAATGTGCTCACACTCAAGCACTCAAATCACAGAGTCTGCTGGTGTGTTTTTAAGTGCACTTGGTGAAACTCTTGGTGCATTATTGATATTCAAAAGGCATTAGCTGACATTAAAACATCCGTACTCACCTTACTGCGACACAGTTCACGGCATTGTTTAATGACATCACAAATGAACAGATATGACCACCACCACACTGACAAACACCAAGAACCACAACCATATTCAAATTGCAACACAAAGACAAAGTGGCCATGCAGTTCACAACATTTACAGACTTACACCATGATGAAGCCTGAAATTTGACCTCAACCATATTGTCCCATGAGCATACATCTAAAGCTTTGATATATTTTTTTTTTTTCAGATGTTTTTTCCATTGTGGTTAAGCTTTTTCTTGAGGCTTGCACAGAGTACGGATGCATTTTTTGTCAGATTTGAGAGAAAAAAAAAAAGAAAAACAAATCAAAAACCGATCTAATTAAATAGTAATTGCTCTGTGTTTGCCAAAGCCGGGACCAACATCAAAGTGCATTTTGGCTATAATGTAAAACAGCTCAGACAAGGCCATCCAGCTTGTTAGAAGTTTGAAATCTGAAGTTTGACCTCTTGAAATTTGACAAAATCAGAATCCTTTGAAAAGCGTGTTTTCCCGATCAAAGTGAATGGTAAATGCTCAAATGCTCACTGGTGTTTCATGTCTGTTGCGTATTCACTGTATGTAGTTGAACAAGAGTGCCATTACTTCCAAAGGGATAGACGTTTGTGTCATTATCACTTTGTCAGCAAGAAGTGAGGAGGGAAAAGTAAAGCCAAAGTCAATTACATTTGATAAGCAATGTTTAGTGTGACTCCCATACTTGTCTCTCTGTAGGGCTCTTTTAGGGACAGCATGAAGAAGAGGGAGAAGAGAAAACACCATAAGCATAACAGTGATAAGAAATGTTGCACATACAAATAATGCGGTGATCGGAAATGACTATAAAATAAATGCATCCCCAGAAAAAAAACCCGACATAAGAATCGCACTGAATTTCTTTCGGTCAATGCCGTATTTTTGCATTTTAATCCTGGTTATTCCATGTGCGTGGACTGCTGTCGGAAAGAGTTATGGGGCCTCAGTCAGCGCCTCCGATGCGGTTTTTGCAGTTTTTATGCACCTTGAAAGTTACTGTACAGGTATGCTCTGGCTGGGTGAAATATTGGGATCATTTTGGGTAAAGAACTACATCGCTATAGTTTGTGATATAGAGGGGCACACATACACAGGGTCTATACTAAAGCTGGAGAACATAACTTTTTTTGTTTAATAAATCATGTATTGTGTTAGAGTGCTCATTGACAGAGATAAAGGACAATTGTGAACAACATGCGCTCTTCATCTAAGACAACTTTTGATCTTTTGCATAGCCACTTTTAAACTGGTTGGGCTGAGAACTGATTGGCTCAATGAGGGTAAGGCGTCCCTTTTTCAATTTTCTGACTGAAAAAGCTGAACCAAAGAGGCCAAAATCTACATATATGTGAAAAACCAAAGTGTTTTAAGAGCGAGGAAGTTGTGTGGGTTGAAAGTAAGGTATCCCAGCTTTAATTTGGGGTCAATCTTTGATCAGAAACCCTGCAATTTCCTCTATATTAAGAGCCTTCCAAATCCAAATGTATAAATCGTGTATTATAATGACATATCTGCATTGTTTACAAATGTTTTAGATAAGTAGACTTTATGGATAACATTATAACAAAGCATTTGAGACATACAGTCAAGCACAACATGAGAGTGGTGTATTTGGCTTCGACGTTCGCTCCCAGCTATTCCTAAACAATGCTTAGTTTTATTTGAACTTTTTAAAAATTGGTGAGGCATTTATGTAATAGTTTCTCCCGGGGATAGCGTTCAGAATCCAAAATACACCACCATGTAAAAACTCCACAGCATGAAAAAACTGCAGGATTTTTCGGCTACATTTTATTGCTAGTAACACACACACACACACAACTTGAGCAGTGTTTTCTTATGATAGCCCCGCTGCCGGTCCCCGTTGATTTGCTTACTCCCCAATAATAAAGTTGCAGAAACCACACAAGAGGCTGCACGCGGGGTAGACATAAGAAAACCTTGCCCTGAGTCTGAAACAATGTCAAAAAAAGAATGAAAAGAAGCCAGCACACCTTGAGGGTTGTACATGCCCAGCGGGTTGTTAAAGACGGCCGATTCCCCAAGCAATGTGTTATAGGGATTGTTAGTGCCATGAGGACGGAGGAGTGCGTTAGGTATAAGATGGTTAGCCATAGCCCCTGCAGCAGCCAGAGACAGACAGAGAGAGAGAGAGAAGGGGGGGAGTTGAGACAGAACCAAAACATACACATATCAGATCGCAGATGCAGCAGTGACAGCCATTTACATACGACTGTAATGTCACAATGGTACTAATGGGGAGTGTGCTAATTGCGTAGCTAATGTTGGCCATTTGTTCAACTCATTACTGTAGACCACATTTTGGAGGCGGTCTGCAGGCCGAGATTTATGTCAAGCAAAACCCATACTCTGCAAAAAAAAAAATGTATTGTAATTTGCAGATCAGATTCAGATTCAGATTCATTTATTTGCCATTTGCAGTAAAACCAAATTGGAAAAACTGTGCAAGACTACCCCAGTGTGCACTAGACGACACACATCGGAGCTCTTGCCAAATTTAGATGGGACAGATAAGGTTATTTATTTAAAACAATTAGCGGTTAACCTCATAAGGAACTCCTATACTATACACTAGAGACCGCAGAAAGGTTTGGACAGAGTGAGTGCAGATGTCTTCCATTGAGTGAGCTCAAACAACTCAAACATGATATATTTCATAGCAACTACCTAGCAACCAATGAGCCAATCAGGAGCGTGGCTGGTCAGTTCCCGTTCATACTATTCTCTAGCCAAAGCCAAGTTTGAAGATGGATGGTTGGATTGGTCTGTTATAACTGGTTATATCAAAGGCAGTATTCAAATACAAATACCAGGATAATGTCAAGCTTTAAATAACATATTCTAAGCCCAGAATGCTGAGTCATACACAAATGGTAAGCCCAGCAAATCTTTTCCCCTGATCACTTCTCTTTTAGGCTTCATCGAGCTACTGGGTTAGCGCTGTCCATCCCTACAGTGGCACAGTTTCATTGATTGCACTTTTAAGAATTCGAGGAAGAGCCCATTACAGTAAAAGTGTGCAGTGCAAATAGAGTGCGACGAAATGTCATTATCAGCAAAGAGGACAATCTCTCACGCTATCTAATATCTATCATTATTGGTGTTTACTTTGTGGAATGAATATGTTTCCAGTCACACTCACATACAATACACAACAGTATATGGCAAATGTGGTTGAAAATGTTTACATAAAACGTCTTTAAATTGTGTCCCTGGATGAGTATTTTTAGTTCCCGAGTATGAACAGCATAAATATTGAGTTATCAACAAGCTGCCAGCCAAACACTCTCCTTCGCTGTGTGAGTAAATCCTATGAAACCACCAAAGTTGACATACGTCTCCCTGTGAGCGCCCTCTTGATTACCCTTCGCTCTCCCAAACACAGCAGCGGCTCATTTGCTATTTATGTAATGCATATATTTTCTTTTTGGTGCAATGAGTCATCAGATTGTACTGAAATGAATCAAAGCGTCTCTCCTTAAGATCAGCCTCTTTTTAAAGTAATAAACACAAAGTCAAAAGGTTTGTCGGCCTCCTAGAGTTCTTGCATATTTACTTGGACGTCAACCCGTTTTGTGTCAGGGGTGCGTCGACAGAATGGTTAAGTACCGTTAACGGCACGGTGGCTGAGTGGATAGCACTCTCGCCTCAGCAAGAAGGTCCTGGGTTCGAATCCCGGTCAGACCAGGGCCTTTCTGAGTGGAGTTTGCATGTTCTCCCCGTGTCTGCGTAGGTTTCCTCTGGGTACTCCGGTTTCCCCTACCACTAAAAATATGTCCAATAATTCTGGCATGTGCCTCCTGTACTGGCCCCGCTCCCATCTCTGTGTGGAGTGAGAGACAAATGCCCAAAAAAATTAACAATTGTAAACCGCTTTGAGACTCAGATCTGCAGTGAAAAGGCGGTATATAAATAAAGATTACTACCGCAGAAAGCACGAAGGGCGAGTGCATCAGAGGGTTTTAAATGCTCTTCAGGATCACAATGAGATCAATCATTCAAACATATAAAAAATAAAACATATCCAAGGTTTGAACTTGAATAGAAGTCTACTTGACAAGGTCCTCTGTCACACGATGACAAGGCCAATGCCCCTTGTTAATAACCGGCTTTTTATTTGTTGAGTGGGAGTGCCTCGGAATGCTTGCTCTCTGTTTGATGTGAAATGCCGTAGACTAGAGCTTCATCCACCTATTCACACCGCAAACGTATGACCCTGTTTTAGAGCGTTTTCTTTTAGGTTTTTACAGTTTTTTAGGCAAAAAAAAACATCATAATTGTGGATAATAACCACAAATAACCCTCTATAACTCTTTTGTCCTCACCTTCAATATTAGCATGTTTAGAATTCTCTATGGTAGCAATATATTTTGTTTTATTTTTGACTGACAAGTGATTTTATCCAATACGTATTTTTAAAACATATTAGCATAACGCTGAAATGTAAGTAAGTTTTTATTTATATACCGCCTTTTCACTGCAGATCTGAGTCTCAAAGCGGTTTACAATTGTTAATTTTGGGCATTTGTCTCTCACTCCACACAGAGATGGGAGCAGGGTCGCCAGTACAGGAGGCGCATGCCAGAATTATTGGACATATTTTTAGTGGTAGGAGAAACCGGAGTACCCGGAGGAAACCTACGCAGACACGGGGAGAACATGCAAACTCCACTCAGAAAGGCCCTGGTCCGACCGGGATTCGAACCCAGGACCTTCTTGCTGAGAGGCGAGAGTGCTATCCACTCAGCCACCGTGCCGCACTTCAAATACATATTTTTTATTTTGCGAGATTCTTTCCCTCCATCACATTAGGCTAAACAGGCCTCTCCTCCGACGCACCCGTCTGTAGGTATTGATGTGTGAATCCCTACTCCAGTCAAAACACACAATAAAAAAATTAAATAAAAACTTGACCGCGCCTGTAGCTATAGTCTCCACGGAGCAATATTTAATTCTACTGTCATCTTTACCAACATGGAGCCTGCACTATGGACAATACGCAAGCAGCCAAACGATGGGGATCCTGACACCCACTCTGTTAGATGAAACAGCCATCCATCACTGTAACCATGCATTAGTGTAGCAGGAAGAATATTTAGAGCTACTATCAGGCTCTCGAGAACCGGGAGGACGGGGTCTTCTCGAGAGGCACAACTTAACTCTGTGATCACATTTTTCTGTGTCATTTGGATCAAGTGCCGTTTCGAAATCCATTCAGCTGAGGAGAGTTGGAAGCTTCTTTCAGTCTACCACTCCATTTTTATCAATTTAACTAGCCCACGACTATAAAGAAAAGTTTAACATTTCCTTTTGGATTGAAAGATTATAATTATGCGCAAATATCTCCTCACAATAATCCTCATCAAGGCCACAGTGCTTATGAAAGTCAAACTCTTTCTAATGCTTTGAATGAATGCCATGTTTTAAAAGAATCCGTATAGCTTTGTACTCTGGCCTTATCCGCGGCAAATCGGCAGAAATGTTTAGAACGCACATCAAGCTGTTTCTTAGGAAAGGTGTTTTATCTGTTATCTGTTTTAAAGTCTGCCGAATCGTTGACGTATAATAGCTTCAGAGAAAGTAGTAAAAACTGTGGGTGTGTCATGGTGGCGGTGTGACTCTGGCCAAAAACAAGATTGAACCTGAGACTGACCAAGCTAAGCAACTAATTATATGGTCAAAAAGTCAAATTAGCTTGTCACGTCAACCTGAAAGCTGAGATACATTTTTGCATTCTTGTAAGTATTTTGAGTACTTCTTGAGTAAATGTATTAGTTTAGTAGTTTAACTGAATACTTGTTCTTCCCTCAGGCGGTTATAAGACTGAACAGAGCACCCTGAGATCTGCTTCTCTTTGTAGCTCTTCGTAGCTTGTCATCATGATTTTAAGAGTTTCATATTTGCCTCACCGTGTCTCCATATTTGTATCTTTTTGTCTGCGTCTGCTTTGTGGTGTCTCCTGTCTGTATTCCAATGCAGGTTTTTCTGCAAATGGCAATAAATTGATTCTGATTCAAGGGACAGTAGACATATTACTGTAAAAGTGTCAGTATTAGCTATTCCTCGGCAAGCTGGAAAATGCCTATGTGGCTGTAGTTTGAAAGTTAGCATTAAACATATACGCTGCACATCTTATTAATTATTATTAAGCTTTATTTATATACCGCCTTTCACAGACCAGAGTCACAAAGCGGTTTACAATTGTTATTCTTTGGGCATTTGTCTCTCACTCCACACAGAGATAGGAGCGGGGCCAGTACAGGAGGCGCATGCCAGACCTATTGTACATATTTTTAGTGGTAGGGGAAACCGGAGTACCCTGAGGAAACCTACGCAGACACGGGGAGAACATGCAAACTCCACTCAGAAGCTGAGTGCTTAGTCTGGCTGAGCCTTTGTAGCGTTCGATAAAAAGTCAAAATCAAGGTTACGTAAGAGGATGACTTTTCATATTGTGCTCCTGCTTCACCTGGATTCTTTTGGGCTGTTGCATTAGTGGAGAGGTCAGCGTAGCGGGCAGTGCGAGCTGAGTGAGTCCGTGTGTCGGGTCGCGTACCTCTGTTGAGTGAAGCCGAGCTGTTTATGTCTCCGGTCATGAAGGACGACTCCGACTGCTTTCTCACCGTGTCGTTCCACATTCGGCGAATACGGCTCTGAAGAAAAATAGATACACCATATATATATATATATATATATATATATATATATATATATATATATAAACGGGTTGGAAACGACTCTTGCATTAACCCTCTGTGATGTTAAGTCAATAGTTAAATTGGCCATCAAGTATGGAAGATTTTTTGTGTCATCAGATTTGGAATTTACATGACACCGGATGTGTCATGTACATTTTTCACCATTGAATTTTTTCTCGTTGAATTTTGACTGTTGAATTTGACATTATGAAATTGATGATCAGTGACTGAAATTCACAGAAAAAAATATTCAAGATGTTAAAAACATTCAAATAGATGAATTCAGGTCCATTTAAAATTCAATTTCTGATGGAACAAATAATCCGTCTGTTTTTTTACATTGAAAAAAATATATATATTGAATATTTTGAGGGTGAATATGTCATTTTGAAATTTTAATCACATTTAAATTTGTAAACTGAATTTTTAGTGACTGAAAAGTAAAGATAAAAATATTCAAACTTGCTTTTTCAGGGTTAAAAATTTAAAACGGAAAAATTCAAGCTAAAAAAAATTCAAAATCTGACGACACATAAAATCTTCCATAATCAAGCTCCCAGCAAGTGAGAAGAGAAGGCAGCTCACTCCGAAACAGTGCATCCTGGGTAAGTGCATGTCCCGTGAGTGGGTGCCCAAGCTATAGGGATGTCTCTTCAAGAAAAGGCCAATCTGAAAATTCTCTGAAATATTCTAATTTATTATAATATATACTATAATGTACTCAGTAATGTGTGCAACAATCATCCTGAAATGTCCTCACTGTGGGATGAGTAAAGTATCTTATCTAAACTTATCTTAAATGCGTAAAACAGAAAATAACTTTATGCTACAAGTTTTTCTGTAAACCAATTTCGGATGCATGCACGACCAGTTTGCAGAAAGAGCGACCCCTTCACCCATGACCAGTCACGTTATGTTTAGCAATCACGGTTATTTAGCAATTACGATAGCTAGCAATGCTGTCAGCGCGCTACAGCACTATTCTATACAAATTAAATCAAATAAAAAAATCTCTAACTCTAGCATCATAAAGAAACAAGTCTAAAATGTCTATCTTTAGCATAATGAGTACAAGAACTCTGACTTTTTCTTAATAAAGAGGTATTCAATCTCTATATTTGGCATAGTAAGAAGCAAGTATAAAGTATGGATATAGGTTCTGTATATAAATGATTATGGATATAGGTTCTGTATATAAATGATTATGGATAAAGGTTCTGTATATAAATGATTATGGATATAGGTTCTGTATATAAATGATTATGGATATAGGTTCAGAGCGCCGATGATTGACAGCCCTTGGCATCACTCGATTGGTTAACGTGGACGGCATCGTGGATTTTGAGCTATAGCTAAGAGAAGGGAAGGCGGGACTTAACTGTAATATTAGAATTCATAAAATGACTTATTTTATATCAACATTAAAGGCCAGGAGGTCAATTTAATACAATTATTAACATTTGTAATTCATTTAGAGTTCCAGACTATCACTTTAAGGTTAAAAATACAGTCTGTGCGGGATATATTAACCACTGCTTCCAACCCTTTGACACCTGATGACTCGCTTCTCTCACTCTCACAGCTCATTACAAGAAGAGAACAGTTCTTTCTTATATGTACTATATATATGCAGCCTGTTTGAACTGCCAAAAGGCTCAAACGCACTGTTAGCTTGCCGTTTGTGCGTTCTAAAATCTGAAAAAAAGAAGAAGCAAAAGTAGTCATCATCTACAAAGTATTTTCTCTTTTCTCTGCCCCTTCCAATGAAATCAAACGTGGAGTCAGGGGCAGCTTGTCATGGCAGTGTTTTTAATTAAAATGTTTTGATCTTGGCGCACCATCCGGCTTGTGTTTCTCAGCAGGAATATTTATAATTGAATGGAGTGAAGGAAAGGGCATAAGAAATCACGTAAGATCTTCCATTATAGCATATCACAGTGAATCATGCTACAGTTTAGGTGTGTGTAGGAGGAATACATTAGTTTGTGCGTTTGCAGGACGTTTTTTTTTGTGTGTGCACAGAACTTGCATATTTTGGCAGAGACAGTCGAGTCAACATTCGCAAGCAGGAGCGGATTCCTGACCCAGCTCCAGCCAATACTTTAGTCAGCGCACTGCAGCACAATGTGTGACCGGAGCTTGCATCAGTAAAAAACCAACTGCCAAGATGACTACTGAAAATGTAGACTTGGAAATGCCAACAAGCAGTTCCTGGTCTCAGATACAAATCAGGCTGTCTGGAGGCGGCTTTTGAATGTAGACTCTGCCGTTAAATAATAATAATAATACTAAACCAGAGCCGCATTTTACACACAAACCACAGTTAGATCAATACAATTCAATGTGTTTTTGTTTAGCTCCAAATCACAGCAGCGGCTTTCTCAAAGGAATTTACTAAATGTGTAGAGAGCCATTGGTCCATAGGGATGAAAAAATGTCCATAAATGTCCCTTCATCTCCAGGTAAAATAACTGATTTGGAGTTCCATAGAGGTAGCTGCTCTACTGAATCCTTATTTTAAAAGATTGCAAATAAGAAAACGGTTTTACTAACAATAATAATATCGGGTTAAGGATTTTTCGAGTGTATAGAGCTGAAAAGTGTAATGTAACCTCGGTGCTACTGTGTAGGTAGAAATACTGTACATAGCGTTGTCTAGCTATGTATTTCTTTACCATAGAAACAAATGCTTCTGAAAGGACCTTGAGAAAACATGTGTTCCACCAGTATAACCTGTAACTTGCCCTGACGCCATCACGTCGCTTCTAATCTCTTAAATGCTGAATGCAATAGGAGGGCAAGTGCTTTCTATACACAGTGGAGGAGTATGAGGATTGTTTTTCGGCACCTGTGAACCGGAGGAGTACCGTCCCGGGGCGCGAGAAGCTTGGCCTTTCACCGAACCGATGGAGCTCTCCACGCTCTTCCCACTGCAACAATGAGTGCGCAGGCATTTCCCGTACTCCTTCCGCACCTACGAACGAACAAGAAGTTACTCAAAACAAGGCAGATTAATAGAGCGGAATCGGACAGAACTGGCTGAAGTTATTTTTATTTTTTTATCCATCCACCTTTCCATTTTTGTCTCCTCTTAATCCATGTCTGGGCCTTGATCTTTCAATGGGGGCTTCAGGCAAACTGGGGTTAAGTGTCTTGCCAAAGGACATAACAACAGCAGACATCCGTGGAAGTCGGGGGAGAAGGTCTCATCGTGATGGTGGATTTGTTTGTTTGTTTTGATTTAATACTGTATTTATTGTGTTGCACTGCATACAGAAGAGACAATGGTTTCAGACAACAAATGTGCAACCATTTTAAATGTTTTGTCCGCTCCCCTCATGGATTGACATGAATATACAGACACACTTTCACACAACCCCCCATAATCCCCCCCACCCCCATTGTCCAGGTATTGATGGTATTTCATTACATATAAGTGTAGACACAGATGATTGTGGCAAACTTCGATCGTCATTGGCATCTACAGAAGCCGCAGTATATATATAGTATTATGTACAGGCAATACAAAATAATAGTCAAAAATTACACTGGGCAACAAAACAATATTTTTTGAAAATAGTCCAGGGTTTTTCAGCTGAATTAGACTAATGTTGATGCTCTGAGTCTGAAAATGACTTTGGTTTTGCTCAATCAGGTCAGGATTTTTTGCTACAGAAATATTTTTTTTAATCGATTTTGCGTAAAAAACAAATTTCTCCGGATCATCAGCTGAAATAAAAGTCAACGTATCCAAAGTCATTCAGTTTTTATTTACTCCATCAAATTTGATAAGCAGAATTCATAATAACGTAGACGTACATAATCCGTAACACTATGGCTGTATCTCAAAAAGTTGACCTGATAGAGCAAAATGCATGAGATATTCAGACTCAGAACACCAACATTAGTCTGAATCAGTTGAGAAACCCCTGACCATTTTTTGGCTGTCAACTTGTGTTACAAATAAATAGAGAAATACTGTTTTTTACATACATATATGTATTATAGGCTGGTGATACAAGGTCAGTTAATACATTAGACCAGTGTCTCCCAAAGTGAGGGTATTGCAGGGGGGCCGCGAGAGGTCACTGAAAAAAAACTGTTTTATATAATTATTGTATGTTAAAATAATATTTTGTTTGTAATATTAAATTTTTTGTTTTTATTTGACTTGAATAATCAAATTTTAATCATTTTTGTATAAAAAAATGGGGTGCGTGATTTACATGTTTGTAGCAGAGGCTGTTTCTCCCACATAAAATAACGAGAAAAGCCTATTATTAACGTTGTCTTCTTGGTTATTTCGGGGGGCCGCGCAGACCCGTCAGATTATTAAAGGGGCCGCGTTGTTGCTGACTTTGGGAATGGCTGGATTAGACCAACAGATTACATTTAGAGCTTTTGCATGATGAACACGGGCAGCTGAGAGTCATAATTGAGCTATCTCTCTATATGACAGAGAGAAAAGTGCTGTTTGGTTCTGTCTGGTTTACTGGCTGAGATCTTTACCTTCTTTTGCAGGACGCAGTGGAAGATAAAGATGAACATCCCTTGCAGTGAGTTGAAGATGGTGAAGAGGTACGCCATGGCTATGGTGCTCTCGTTGACGTACATGAGACCGAAAGCCCAGGTCAGACCCAGAAGACACAGCAAAGCGATGGCTCCGATCACCCAAGATCTGCAAAACACAAAAGCGGTTTTAGAACAACATATCAAAATAAAATCCATTACAAAGTCAACAAGATAGAGGTTATATCTGTAGTATAAATTAGTCACCATGAGAGCTAGATGTGACTATTCAAGAAATGTTAATGGAAATGTGTAAGGAATGTGTTAAGGTGGGGCTTTTCAAGGGTATACATGGACTAAACTATGCATTGATGAATACAATATCAAACCTCAATGAACCAAGGTCACATTTTTCTTACACTAAAGCACCGGCATTCAAGATTTACTCGAGTTTCAATGGTTTAATAACACGCCAAATACCTTTACGTCGTATAGGAATCCTTACCTTACTGAACGTCAATATACTACGCAGCTTTTGAGTACGAATCTCAGACGCTATAGACCAGGGGTCGCCAACCTGTTGCTCGGGAGCCTCCAGTAGCTCGCCAGTTCCTTACAGGTAGCTCGCCAAAGGAATTAGAATTTAACAAATACATTTAAGTGAATACCTTTTGAGCCATTACATATCTATTATAAGTATAAATATAGGGTTATACAGTATTATGGTGTATTGTATATGTCTTCTACAAGTTTTGTTTTGATTATTAGATAATTTTCTATTACGACTGCAAAAAGGAGTAGCTCTCTGCCTCTTTGTTTGTATAAAAGTAGCTCTCCGGTTGAAAAAGGCTGGAGACCCCTGCTATGGACTGTATGTCAGAGAGGGATCGACCAACAAGGACGGGTTTTCACAATGAGAGGTCTTGTCCAGCCTACTTTTAAATGATACATAACTAAAGACATATTTATGAATCTACAGCACACACACACTCATGTTGAGACACACTTACTGTCGATTCAAGTCAATTGAAATTAACTCAAATATTAGGAAGCTTTGTTTGTATGTTTGTAAGTTACATAACATCGCTCTATACGTGTGTTATTTTTGCTTAATAATCATATAGCAGGATTTTCAAGATGCTAGGCTTCTAAGGATTCAATATTTTTGTTACTTTTAATGCTCATAATTGGCTCTATATATCAGTTATTGTTCTTCATGCCCTGGAAAAAACATATCGGTCGACATCTTACAGTATATTAGAAACCTTAAAGGGAAGAGCTAATTTAGTTGCTATTCGGTTGCTATGAGAAATACATAGGGATACCTGTCTATGGAGCTTCATTGGTTTTCATTGGCTTCAAAGCAATAACACATCCGCGGGAACTAGCAGGTGTTAGACTTACCCGCAAGAAACGCCACATAACACAACTTGAAATGTGATTTGACAAATGTGGGAGACGCTGCGGCAAAGATATCACATAAAGATATCATTTAGAACAAATCTCCTCTGTCATGTGTCTGGGCTGTGTGTTTCTAAGGCCGTAGTGCCGTGTGCAAACCGAAACCCTCTACAACACGCCTGGCACTAAATCATCTTAATGATTCTGCGGCTCTTTGGATTAGGGAGCTGAGCGGCTCACATGGGGTCTTACTTGGGGTCTAGGGTCTTACTTGATTTCTGGTTCATAATCCTGATAGCTGGGTGATATGAGCGGGGCAGAAAAGAAAGCAAGCATATACAAATCAAATCAAAGGGAGCAAAAAAAAAAAAAAAAACACAAGACAAAAAAGATACAAAATTATAACATGGGATGCATTGTGAAAGATATACATGGAACACAATACACAAAAGACATGACATTGTTTGATAATGTTCAACCACGGTTTTTATATGTGTTTTTATTCTGTATATTTCATTCAATGTAAAAAATTATGTCTTTATGGCGTTTTTTCTTCTTCTTTTATTTAACTTTTTTTAACCTTTGGGTCTGCTGAGGGACTATGAAGGGTGTCCAAGGGAGATTACTGTATGTTAATAGTCGGGCCAGGACTTTAACGCGTTAATTAAATATTTATATGCGATCAAAATGTAATTAATTGCGATTGAATGCGATTAATTAACTACAAAGCTTCAAATTAATTATGTATATATATTTTTTAATCGAGTCCCAGTACCAGTTAATTCTTTTTTGAAAATGTCAAGATGAAAATTGAGAAATTTAGAGTCTGTAAGTTATCAGTAGGAGGCACTGGCATCGGCTTTTCGACTGCTCGCACTAACACACTGCTCTCTGCTTCAGCTTGTAGTCAAACATAGCAAATCCAGATTACATTATATATTTAGAGTCAAAAAACTGGTTTAAATCATCCTCAAACTATTGGCCGACCTTGTGAAAAAACATATATGCATAATTCTGTTTCCAAGTAAAACTGACAATGAAATATTAGTTGCGCCGGATTCCCAAACAACTATCTTTTCTCAGCAAAGTCGTCTTTAGAAGAAATCCTCGCAGACCCGTTGTGTTTGAGCTACTTTAAATAGGCCAGGTGCGCCGCAAAATTAGTGATTTATGAATTCAACACCGCAACCATTAAACATAATTTTCCCAAGGCTGTCCTAACGACCTGTTGGGGGAGGTACTTCATCACAACAATAGCCCTTTGAAGAGACAGTCAAACAAGGAATTCACATATCTACTATACATGGAGAGATACGGAGATATAACAGGGCAGAAGAAACACAAAGGAGAGAAGGATATTAAGACACACTCATATTGGAAGTAGAAAGGAAGGAAAATATCACTTACACATGAATGAGCACAATGTATTAGGAATTATATCAAGAAATTAAAATGAGAAAAAACTGAATTCATTTTTAAAACAGATAAAAAAAGAGTTTCGAATAAGCATTGAAGATTCTTTTCGTCTTTCTGCTCCTTTTTGTTTGTGTGACAGAACTACAATTATTTTAAATGTAGCTGTAATATGTTATGTGTATTGTCCACAATTTAAATAAAGAAATAAATAATACATCCATCCATTTTCTTCCCCTTAATCAATTTCTGGAGCGGGGGGGGGGGGGGGGGGGGGGGGGGCAGTCAAAGCTGCACCCAGTCCACAGAGCACCAGCCCCTCACTGATCCTCCTGCAGGTGCTGAGTCCACAGGAGCCGAGATCTTTCAGTGGGAGCTTCAGGCAAAGTGGGGTTAAGTGTCATGCCCAAGGACACAAGTAGGTCTTATGGTGGGCTCGAACCCACGACCTTCAGGCTCAAAGGCCACTGTCGCCCTCATAATTAAAGATAGAAACCCCATATTTTTGCCGTTACCATTACTATGCACTGCTTATGAGCTTGTCACCTTCAAATTCCGGCAAAACAACTGAATAAATTGGATAATCTCATAGTTTTGCCTTTGCTTTGACAGAACATACGGCATTTGAAGTGTTTTGCAGAAGCCGGAAAAGAAAAAAAGCCTTTTATTGTGCTAATTCGCCGAGAGATATGTCAAAAATCTGGAACCTCTGTGGCTTCGAATTCTCACCAATTTGCAGTGAGAACGGTGTCATTTGTCCGAGTGCCTTTCATTACATCGCCACGGATCATTTATGTATGAGATTGCAAATGGTCAATTTGTTTTTGAATCTCTCTAAAATCGTTCAGCTGTTCACAAGGAAAAGGGATATCAAAGTCTGAAGCAGCGAACAGGAGCAGGAGAATCACAGCTAATAGTGAATGTGTAGATGTAATCAAGGTTTCAGAAACTTCAAAAGCCCTTCGAATACGTTACATTTGGCATCGCTGATTAAACCATAATATCCATATGATAGCAGTAGTTTTTTTACAGTGCGGGAAAGACACAAACACAACTATCAAATCTATTCCACACTCGGCTACAGCTAGTAATGCCCCATCTTACCGGTGCCACTCTACAATAACACATCCATCATAATACCGGTAGCTAGGGCAAAACAACGGGAGATGGGAGTGGAAAGAAAAACACAGAGAAAGGATGTTAAAAGTTAAAAGAGACAAATCAAAAGCAAGACATTTAAACAGAATAAGAACAGGACATTGGTGCCAGAAAATATATACGTATATACTTTACTATCTACTTCGGGAACAATAAGTGCGACATCACATCCATGGTGTAATTGATTAGTGCAAACAAGGGTTCCACTGACATTATAGAAAGTTAATGTTATAGGTAGATTTTAAATAGTACAAAATGAAAGAACCAATAATGACACGCCAAGTTCATGTTTTGTGATTAAAGTCATTCAAATGATTAAAATGCACTAAAAAAAAACTCAATATGGAGTCTGGTGTGAAGTTGTTTAACCACTGAATGGGGATAAAGGCAGAATTATACGGCCATGTTTATACCGTTTATTTATGGTTTATACATTTTGCATTATACGATTTAACTGCATGTTTGGTTAGGATTTTCTAACCAAATTTTCCGACCAATTTCTATCATAATTATTTCACTGGCAGATACGTATTAACATTAAAATGGTCAAAATTATTCACCAGGATAAAGGCTTTTCTAACAGACCAGCAAAGGTACTATAATGCCAAAACAACTAGCATGCTAACAACACACATCATTCAACATACAGAAACAAGGTAATTCATATTTTTATCTTTTTAAACATATAGATCCCTTGATGCAGACCTCACACAGCAATTTCGAGATAACTTTGATCTCTAAGCAAATTCAGACAAATTTGGCCATTTTGAGTTTCTGAGTCTGTTTCTTGCAAGGTATCTTTTTTTTTGTTATCCCGATTGTTTTGGTTCATGTTGAGTAATGGGTCCACGCAGCGTCAGACAAAACCGCATTTTTTTTCCATTTCTGTCTAAAACGGTTTCGAAGTCAGAGAAGTCACAGGGTCAGAGCGGTACGGAGAGACCAGTGTGATAAATCATGTGACACGCTGAACTAAAGCACTCAATATTTTCTGCAGTGCAAACAAAGTCATGTATCTAGTGCAGACAAGGCAACCGTGGACAAAGAGAAATGGTGCCGGAGTCATCGTTCTCTGGGCTCCATTCAGTGCCTGAGACCGAGCGCAGATCATGGAAGAAATATGGTTACATTTGTAGACAGTCTGTAGACAGTTTTAGGACATTTTTAATTAACATTTTAAACACTAGACGTAATGTTTTTTTTTTCTCCAGTTTTTCAATACATTTTGTTTGCCCCATTAAACTCTCTCTCCTCTCAGCAAGAAGGTCCTGGGTTCGAATCCCGGTCGGAACAGGGCCATTCTGAGTGGAGTTTGCATGTTCTCCCTGTGTCTGCGTAGGTTTCCTCCGGGTGCTCCGGTTTCCCCTACCACTAAAAACATGCACAATAGGTCTGAATGTAAATGAGAGAGTGAATGGATGGTGTTGGAGCTGATGGTCCAGTGTGTTCTGGACTCGCTTCTGTCATCACCGTGTGTGGAAGGATTGGAACAATATCTGACTCTGAACATTGTAAAGTGCTTTGGGTCTGTACCTTGGTCTGTAAAATGCGCTATATAAATAAACATGACTTACTTACACAACAGTCTGTCTTCATCTTACTCTATAACATGTTGTTTTTAAGATACTGAGAGCTGATTGGCTGAGTGGGGGCTTATTTCATGCGACAGAGGCCAAACATGCATGGGTTTCAGATTCATGCAGCTACAATCTGGAACAGTCTTCCTGAAAATGTGAGGCAGGCAATGCACAGAAATTTGGCCATTTTGAGATACATTTTGTTCAAATGATTCGAATAATTTGTTTCTTGCAAACTCTGATTAAGTTTGAATCCAGGTTAAAAACAGCTGTGCGTACAACTCCGGGCCTTTACCTTTACTCTGTTTAATCTAGCGTGATTATTTAGGATTTTGATGCGATTTATTGTGATTTCTAATGCATTTCTATCTTTGTTCGGCAGTATGAGTGTATGCACTGTGCAATACAAATAAACTTGCCTTTCCTGGTGAAAACTAGTGACAGAACCAGAATGAGTTTTGAGAGCGAGGAACTCTACATAATTTATATATATATATATATTATATATATATATATATATATATATATATATATATATATATATATATATATATTCCAGACTCAAGGTCCATATAAAAGACATCACTAGAAACAAACAAATAAAAAAATAAATACTAATAAAACACACATATTGTAAAATTATGTACTCCAGCTACTTATACAGTTTCGTACCGTAATTCTTCCATTAGTGCTAGAAACAGGGAGGTTCTCACAAACCCCTGGGGACAAGAGACTGTTTATTTTGTGAACTCGATGAAGTGGAAAGTGAAGTGCATTTTTTGTTATATTGTCCTTTTTATGATGAATTTAGAAATGTGTTGTTTTATGAAACGTTCTCCCGGGATCCTGATTTGTTTTGGGGCTGTGATTATGACAAGATGAAATTTTTATTTGAAAATCAAGTGTTTAAAGTGTCTTCATTTCTAAGTAAAGCTTGGAAGAAGCGGCAGTCTCATCTATTTAAATGAGAGCATTTGTGTTTGATTTTGTTTATGATTTTGTTTGTTTTGTATGATTCGGTGTATGTGCCGGATGTTGGCCTGTGTCTCTGTATTTGCACAAATGGTGTCTTATAAGCCCATGTGGGCGGGGCATCCTTGTACGCTACGGGCGGCACGGTGGCTGAGTGGATAGCACTCTCGCCTCTCAGCAAGAAGGTCCTGGGTTCAAATCCCGGTCGGACCAGGGCCTTTCTGAGTGGAGATTGCATGTTCTCCCCGTGTCTGCGTAGGTTTCCTCCGGGTACTCCGGTTTCCCCTACCACTAAAAATATGTCCAATAGTTCTGGCATGTACCTCCTGTACTGGCCCCACTCCCATCTCTGTGTGGAGTGAGAGACAAATGCCCAAAATTAACAATTGTAAACCGCTTTGAGACTCAGATCTGCAGTGAAAAGGCGGTATATAAATAAAAACTTACTTACTTACTTACTTACTTGTATGCAAGACACTATAATAAATAAAAATCTATCTATCTATACACTTATCTCTAGTAACTCATGGATACAAAGTAAATAGCAAAAACACATTCATTATTGAGATCATTGTAAAAATCAAACTGAACCAAAACTATCTGCTGCATGGCTCTGATCAGAGACGTGTTATTTAGCTCCATAATTTAACATCATGATGAAACAGCTGCTGCTCTGGACCAGAATCAAAGTATTCAGCGAAACAAGAGACTTCTGCTGCGCGTGGGAGAAGAGCTGGGTCTAGTCGACTTCTACATTTGAATGTTTTAGATAAATCTTATATGAGGGGGTGGATGGACATGTAAGGACGTCTAATGTTATGTTCTTTTCATTCTAATATTGTAGATAAAGCTCAAGCTGGGGAAGACTGACGATGCATTCTAATACATATATTCCTGATCAGAATTTATTTGAAAATGATGATTGCAAAGTACTGGGACGCACTGTTGCTAATCATGAAGCTAAATATTCTGAAAACGGGAGGTGCAGTGTGCTAGTTGTCGTTAGCCTTAACATGAAAAAATAACGATTATGCTAAGAATGCAAGAAAAGGTGTAGATTTGGTTTGGCAGACAGAGCACCTTGAAAATAAGTTTACAGAACATTTTAATCCTTTTTAAGACCACTTATTTTATCGTTTAAAGGGGCACTATACATGGTCTGTTTTCTTTTTGAGACCATCCACACAACAGTGGAGTAAAGTGCGTTACTTCAGTTGGTTAAGTTACACAGTTTGGCTTCAGTTCAATTCCATCCTTCCATTTTCTTCCCCTTAATCCATTTCTGGGTCGGGGGGTGGCAGTCAGAGCAGTCAATTTGATATCAATTTATTTGAGCAGGTCATACAAAACATACAAAAAAGAAAAGAAAAAAACAATCCAAAAGGAAACATTTCAAGAAGAAATAGACACAGCTCAAAGGGAGTAAGCTGAAGTATAATACTTGTGGATTATAGCAGCAGCCCCTCACTGATCCTCCTGCAGGTGCTGAGTCCACAGGAGCTAAGATCTTTCAGCGGGGGCTTCTGGCAAAGTGGGGTTAAGTGTCTTGCCCAAGGACACAACGACAGCAGTCATCAGTGGGAGTCGTGAAGTAGGTCTTACGGTTGGCTCGAACCTACAACCTTCAGACTCTGAGGTCGTGGGAAAAGAAAAGTAAGGTCTGAAAAAGCAATAGGCCGAAGCTAAAGCTAACGGATGCTAACCCTTTAGTATACATTAAAATAGCTGCTACATATACATAATAAAACATTTACTCCATCTATCCATTTTCTTCCCCTTAATCCATTTCTGGGTCGGGGGTGGCAGTCAGGGCTGATCCTCCTGCAGGTGCTGAGTCCACAGGAGGACATTTACCCCATAATTATGACTATTTTCTGCTCAGCATTCACAATCAATATAGAAAGAATCTGCATATTTGCAAATGGCTACAAAGAGTAAGTAAGTAATGTTTATTTATTTAGTGCATTTTACACCCAAAGCACTTTCCAATGTTCAGAGTCAGATATTGTTCCAGTCCTTCCACACACGGTGATGACAGAAGCGAGTCCAGAACACACTGGACCATCAGCTCCAACACCATCCATTCAACTCTCTCATTTACATTCAGACCTATTGTGCATGTTTTTAGTGGTAGGAGAAACCGGAGCACCTGGAGGAAACCTACGCAGACACGGGGAGAACATGCAAACTCCACTCAGAAAGGCCCTGTTCCGACCGGGATTCGAACCCAGGACCTTCTTGCAGAAAAGTGAGAGTGCTAACCACTCAGCCACCGTGCCACCCTGAGTGACACAGAACTAGCGGTAATCTTTCAGTTATATATTGTGTTAGCAGTGCGTTGCTTTAGTGCCATTTCATCAGTGATTGTCGTACAGCTTAGAAAAAGTTGCGCTAATGCTAATGTTAGCATACGTATCAGATCGCAAATTAAACTAGATG